ACTGAAAAAGACAGAGGGTTGTCCGAGTGAGTGCGCATGGGCTTTGTCATTTCATACCTTCAAAATATTCCGCTTCCTGCCAATAGGCATTTTTCAATATGATTAATTATCGGAATGCAAACTGCCTGACAAACCCCGGTTGCAGCTTCCCATTCCAGAAGTCTTCTCTTCAGCACGCTCATGAAGCTTTTCATCTCCAACTTCTCAAAGGTGTGCCCCGCGTCTGATGCAGAAGGGCAAGTGGAAAGCTTCCCCCGTTGGCCACAAAGCAGCTGTGGAAGTCATTCAGCAAGCTAGACTGATAGCACGGCGATATCCAGCGGCGCGGTCTGGAAGGCAAACAGCGCACGTGAAGCACTCCAGTCCAAGCCAATTCAGAAGCGCCAAAGCGCCAACACGCTAACCAGTTTTCCAAACCGAATCCGCAGGAGGCGGGCATCTTTGAGCCACCGATACGCCTGCTTGGGCCTTAGGCGCCTCCTGCCACGTGGTATAATGAAAAGGGCACACAGAAGGAAAATGCCTAGAGTTGATACCCAGGGCAAGGGGAGCGGGAGACGGCTTCGCTTCACAAAAACGCGTTTGGGTGGCTTCAAAATAAGAAAAAGGAACATCTGACGTTTCAGCCAGACCAAAGGGAAGGCAAAACAGAAACGGTTTTTGTTTGCTCAACACCAATGTCTTCCAAACCCAAAACAAGACCAAAGGTGTCCACTTGGAGCGCTCTGCCTACAGAGGCAATGGTACTCCGTTTGAAAATTGTGATCATCGGGCAAAATGTGTTGTAAAAGGGGACAAGACTTCGTTTTTCTCCAGCCAATTCAAACTTGTTCAGCTCCAAACCCCAAACCCCGAAACCACCCTTGATTCTTATTTTCTTCCTTTGAGCCCCCAAAAGCGTTTTCGTTTGGCTTTCTCTTTTGCATTTGGTTTTGTTGTTCAGCCAGAGATTTTGGTGGAACACCAGTGTCTAAAACCTAATTGCCAATCATCCTAGACGCCTCCCGAGTTGTTGGCTGTTCGTGTTCGACTGAATGTTCGCCATGCTTCTCGTGTCTGCACCCTTGACAACAATTGGACCCGAGATTATTGCGAAGAAAAATCTCTGAGTGATTGTATCTTTGATAATAGTGACAGTGACAAGTCCTTGAGGTGTCATGGATACATTGCTGATTGGCGTGAAGCAAAGTTCTCAGTTGTCGCTACAAGGTTTGTAAACATTGCCGCTCAACTCTCGGCACTCCGGCAGGCATGGCAGTGGTGCCAGATTCCAGATGTTATGGGCTAGAGTTTGCAATGAAGTTTCAGACGTTTCACACGACTGCCACCCCATGTTTACGTGTATGGTTTTGAGTAGACAACATGCTCACATGTGATTCCATTGCATAGCACGTTGCAATCACGATGGCATCATACAAGTCTACCCTTCGTTTTTGCCGATGTCCCAGCAACGGCATGAATCATGAACGAGTGTTGGTCATGCGAAATAGATGCAATGCACAACCTGCTAAGGTCCTGGTTGCAACAATTCAAATTGGATGATGGGAAAGAACGAGAAGATGGACCGTCTGCAAGCTTCGCATTTTCACGCCAGCCGTGCAGCTTCGCGATCGAGAGGAGCTAGTCTTCACTTGCAAAGTGTGCGGCTTTGTGGAGGCCAGCAATTTAGTTTTCATATTTGTGCAATTGGAGTGGACATGGTAAGACAGTGTACACATGCCTCTTGCATGGATTTCTGCTTTTTTTCGCAAGGAAGTCTCCATGGAAAAACAGGCCGGTTGCAGAAGTTCGCTAACGGAGAGCTTGCCGTTTAGAAGCTGCATGCAGCCGGTAACAAGGCGATGTGATACAGTATGAATGATTTCACTTGCTGTTTGGTAGGCGTGTTGTAAACTTGTTGGCCTTCGACACCTTCTTTGTCAGGATGCAAGTGATCCTGGCACCGGCTTCAAGCGGATTGACGACTTGTGTGTATTTCGGCATGATGTGCTTTTCGTGGCCAAGGCAAGCGACAGGGAAAGCGCTTCTGGATATGCATGTTGCAGACAAAGACGATCCAGTTAATTGTTTGTCAGTTTGGTAGTTCATTCCTGTCGGAGGAATCCATCATCGTCATGCCAGACGTAATCCACGACCCGACCTTGCCGCGGGTAAGCCAACGTTGCACAGATGCCATGCGCAGCAACTGCGTGTAAACGCATGCCCGTCCAGGTTTACGACTACGATTGCCATATTTGTGGTCACAACGAGGCGGTGGTGGCTTACCGCTTTACGTCGGTCATGATCTGCGGTTTTTGCTTTAGCGCGTCTATGCTGTTTGCGCCGGGAGGAGAGAACTAGCAGTACCATAGACTTTGGCACCCTAGATTCCAGAAAAGATGCCCCCCAACGACTGATTGTTCCTTTCTTCAGGCTGTTTTCTATCGTCTGTCTGAGACCATTGTGAGCGATGCGATGGCCATTATCTACGTTTGTTGCAAGTGGTCGCCTCGGTCGAAACGTTCCTAGTTGAGAAGATTTCAGCTATAAGACGCCAGGTGTTCAAACTGGAGGACGGAGGGCCGAGAGGCGTTGTGGAAGCACGGGCCTTGCGGACAAAAGCTGGATTGTGTGCCAGGTCCAATATTCCGTTCCCCAAGAGGATCGCCGCGGTATGGGAACACTGGAGACAATCATGAAGCATGGAAAGGCTTGACGAAGTTAACTGACAGAGTTGCTGCAAATAGAAAAAGAAGGCTTCTGCTTGGGATCATGGCCCACCTGAATAGTTACATCCATCCGTGCCAGAAGCATTTATTCCTGTTAGCGTCACAGGCTGCACATGGATGTTTCCAGCGGGTATATCATCACGAGACCGTGAACATAATGCCATTCAGTCTTGCATAAGTTTTACATGTGCAATGCAGATGCTTTTCCGAACCTGGGCAGTCGAGCAAGCCGGCGGCTGCAGATACAGCTTTATCCAGTCGGAAACAGCGAGGTGTCAGTAAATGCCAAACCGCTTTGCCATGGCAACAGATGTCCGTCACGGCAGCCAGAGCGTTTCTGTTGGCCCTGGCCAGCCACACAGTGCAGGGGCTATGAGTTGCTATCAGTGTCAGGAAGGCCGAGCAGTATATGGTGATGAGATTTTTTGAGAGGCCCGAATGCCTTGAAGGCAACCCCAAAGACTCTCAGCAAGAATCTGCAAAATGTCTGATCTGATGGGCAGCTGAACAAGGGGACGCCAGTAAGAAACGTAGCAAGGCTGGAAGGAGCCTGTGCTAACGTCTGTTGCTATTCACAAACCGCAAGTCTTTTGGAGGTGATCTTGAGCAATGTTTCAAATCATCGTCAGAAAGTTTTACTTAAGGTCTTCGTCGTGGATGCTGGACAGCCATGGGTGCCAGCCTGGGACGCAGCTTGTCCGGGTCAGTCACTGTAGACCTGGACGCAGCAAGGCAAATGCCAGAGGCGCAGCTTCGCTGCAGGCTCGGCATGCGAACAGAGCACAGCAACCGCCACGGGATGTGGGATGTGGTGTGATGTGATTTGCGGAGGTGAGTGCAGATCTGCTCAGTCCTGGACAGCCTCGCTTGATACAGGTCACACTGTGTGGAATTGCACTTGCTCCTCGCAAAGAGATGGCAGACATGGCTGCATGATCTAGGGACTCCCGGCTTTTGCAACCCGTTGCTTTCCGACCTCCGTACCATCTTCTGTGCAAAAGGTTCGTGCCCCATGCTCAGTTTGCTCAGTCCTCCGTCCGATGGTCTCCTTTACTTGCCAGCTGGCTGGGATTAAGGTAGTGGCGTCCGTCGTCAGTTTGGCTGGATTTCCAGTACTCTGTGCTGGTCTCGCTCTGAGCTTTAACAGATGCAGGCAGCCCAGGGCCCGCAACTCCGTAAGTCCGGTTCAGCACACATAGTCACGAAAAGGGGTAATAAAAAGATGGGCTGGGTAGGGGGGTTCTCTGGCTCCGACATCACGTAAAGATCAAGCGCTCTTGCAAGGTCCGACGGCGACTCTAGTGAACTGTGTCCTGCAGGTTTGCAACCCGAATTGAGACTTAATGTGTTGAGCTCACATGTTTCTCAAGATTCGAGAAATTTTCTCAGAAAGTGGGAGTCCTCGGAGAGGCTTCGGCACCACCGTCCGCAAAAGACAGACTGCGTGCAAGAGTAGTTTCCGAGCGGTGGTGAATTTTTTATTGGATTAGTCGTCAGCTTTTCAAAAGATCATCTGAGTCGCTCTGTGTTGGACAATCCCCGGTTTCCGGATCGTATCCACCTTTGTGGGGTATGAAGACGAGGATTCTCGCGGAAACGCCCTGAATCAGTCGACCTTCCGCGGCCTTCAAAATTGCGACACCACAGACATGAATGGGAACTGTGCGCGTTCGTTCTGCAGCGGCCACAAAATCTGGAAACTATCCGTCGGGCTTGAACAGTCTGTATTCCTTTCGGCATCTGCCTTGCTGGGTTCTTGCGATCAGTGGCTGTCTGAGGTTGGGAGCCAACTAGACCGCAAGCAAACAGCTCGGAGACAGGCTACGAGACTTTGGATGAGGCAGCTCTCACCATTTCCTAGCTTTGGCCTTTCACTGCCTCGAATTGAGGTCTTTGACAATGCCCTTGACAAAGACACCATCTTCGTATGTGTCAGGACTTTCTCCAGCCAAGGCTGTGTGCGGTTTGGGATTGTGGTAGGTGTCCGCGCAGCTTGCACTGAGAACGCATCATGCAGAGCGCTGCTTGCATGCAGGTTTCAGCGTCCAGGACATGAGAAAGTCAGCATGTTGGGGATCAATTGTTAAAGTGTCATGTTAGGGACAAGTGCAGCCGCTGATCCACTGCCCCGGGGAGCTGATCTATCGTGACATCGCGAACTTTTGCCTAGCTTTTGCACCTCCGGCATCTTTTTGCTGAGCCCCGTGTCGACCGCTGATGGGCAGCCGGCGGACCACTGTGCACACAACCCGAAACCGCGTTGAAGAATCCGCAACTCCTAGAAGGCGGACGTAGAGATGCCTGCGTCTCACTACAAGCCTAGCCTAGCGTAGTCATTGCGTCATTCCTATTCTGAACCAGAACCCATACCTACAAAGCAGAGACGACGTCGGGCAACATTCTTGCATTATTTCTCGCACCAGCACGATGTATAGAATCTACACCTCCTTTGTCTAGCAAACGCACGCCGTCACACTTTGACAACAGAGTACGGCATGCAGATACACAATACAGGTTTCGAGGTTCCGATTCAGCCGACCCATACCTTAGCCTTAGACTGTCTGATGAAGTCCTGCAGGAACAAAAATGCCGCATCGTTTCGTGGTGATTTTGGACTTGGATCAGGCTGCTCTCCGTGGAACAGAAAGCAATCCAACGCCCCCCTCGACAATGAGAAAATCATCTCTTCACAAGCAGCCTCCGCTTGCGAGGTTTGCGACTCACTCCAAACCTCTCCGATTTGGGCTTGTCCGCTATCTCTGTATGTGTTTGATTCTTCCAGCCGTTTCAGCCAGCTTGCGATCCGGCAACTAAATTTACGGCAGCCATGCTAAACAAGTGCTAAACAAGTGCAGCGAAGAGACAACAGTTCCTGGCAGCTTGGCTTTTGATTCTAAAGGGCCTCGTCCGGTCCAGCCGACGCCACCCGCAGAAAGCATATTCATCAAATGCTGAACTGCTACCGTGCACTTCTTGGTCAGTTTTGCCATTCTCATGAATGCCTCTGACCGAGAGGCTGTGATTCCGTCCTCACAGTCTTCGCAACACCTCATCTTCATCTTGACAAGGAGCGTGCGTACAGATCTTGCGTAGTGTACACCCGGCATTCCTGTCTCGCGTTTGATGAAGCATTTGATTAGTCTTTGGGTGTCCGTTCTTGTGCAGGAGTATATTCCGTTCGCTCGGCTCGAGTTCCTTCGGCACGGTGTTGAATTGAATTGCATTTGTTTGACGAGTTCATGTTTGATGTCCAAGGCTGAACTATCCGTCGATCTGGCAGCTGCGGGATAGCCGGGCTCTGAGAAAGCACAAGCTGCACGTGCTAAGCCTAAGGGCCCCTCAATGAAAATTAGAGGGGAAAGCGATATGCACTGGCAGCACGAGATAGCACGAGGTTGCTGAGCACTGAACGATTGTTTGGCAGTTTGTCAAACCAGTTGCAGGTCTGCTTTTCATGTCTACTGAACAGTTGTTACTGTAGCACCAGTTCCGTCACCTCTTTGATGATCCCACTTGCCGCCTGTTGCAGTTTCGAGCCAGCCGCGTGCTGGACACCTGAGGTGCGGCTCCTTCCAGAATGGGTTTCACTACACAGGCACATCTTCAACTAAAGCTCGACCAAAAAGGTTTGCTGAGGGTCATGCTCCGCCCAGCTTGCAATCAGGCGGACTTTCTGGAGGACTTCAACCTGGAAAGGGCAGTGTGCAAGAAGCTGCTAAGATGTGGTAGTTCCGAGTTCTGCAGTCATGGTGCGGGTTACTGTAAGGGGGCCTTGTGCCAGAGACGGGAAATAAGGCGCGCTTGGGTTGGACGCCGACCTTGGCAAGAATCGTGCCAATTGCGTTTGCTCGCTTTTTTCTCCGAACGAACATATCGGGCAAGGGAGAGAATGAATCAGAATGACAAGATCAAGCAGTGCTTCTTCCACCCCGACATGCGGGACTTGCGCTTCTCCTTAGCATCCTTGCAACTGTGTGGAATCAGCCATAAGCCCTGGCTTCTCCTCTTTGGGGCTGCTGTGGGCTGTCTGAACTGCCAATCGGCACGTTCGTGCTGAGCTGGCGACAGAAGCGCGACATCGGGCAGTTTTCGCGCCGTGCTTTGCCAATCATGCTGGCCGGGGATCCTTCGACTGACCCCGCATCATCAGTTTTTTCAAGACGTTTTTACCCCTCTCTGCGTTTGGCAGGTCATCCGTAGGAGAGCGCTCAGCCCCTTCAAACCTCAGACTACCGGTTTGCAATAGGTTTATGACGACCCGACCGGAAGTCCTCAGTCTTTAAGTTCGTCACAGTCTCAGTCTCTGTTCCTTTCATTGCTATCTCTTTTTCTGTTTCCTTCTCCTCTCCCTCTCGGTGTTGTTTTCCTTCTTCACTTTAACTTATTATTCATGATTTTTTGTTTCTTGCCTTTCTCTCTCTATCTTTTCGGATAATTTGTGTCTGTGTCTCGCTGCTTGTCTACCTCTCGCCCGCTCGCTCCGTCTTTATTTCCTTCCATCGGGCACTTCGGGCGAGGATTTGAGGCTCGTGGCATTTCCGCTGAGCGGACATTTCGAGGCCCTGATGCGAGCTCTGAGCGTCCGGGCTCTCCAAGTGTGTTTCGGGAGGTTGAGGTGTACCGAGTCGATTCAAGCTACTCATTCAACGCCAGTTCTTGCATCGGTCTGGCACCCGGACTTGGGCTTCGCTTATGCTCTGTGTATTTCTGTGCTTCGTGCTGGCCGCTGGAGGCCATGGCATCAAAGTGGAGAAAAGCAACAGCGAGCTCGTCCTCGAACCACTGGCATGTGCTGACTCTTTCAGCTTTGGGAGGGTTAGCAGTGTCGAAAGACGTCAGGCTGATCTGCTGCAAGTGCATGGAGACCTGAATCGGCTGGAGCAGAAGTTCTGCATCATGATCGTCGGTTCAGGGGCCAATGCCTGAGTCGGCAGCTATGTAATCTGATTGCCATGCCTGTGTCTGTTTGGCTTAGACTGTGTACATCAGTGTGGCCCGGCTCTACCCGGGACCATTCTTAGCCCCAGCCATGCGCCAAGGGCAGCGTTGTGTACGATGAAATCGGCATGTCGTTGAGCTGTCAGAGCATCTTACTGAGGCTGTGCCTCATGCAGGCCATCAGCATGTCTGGATGTGCTTGTTGGTTCATTGTTGCCAGGTTTTCTCCATTAGTGCTTCCAGGTCTTCTCAGCGGAGCGGCTTGCGATGGTGCCAGGACTCGATGGTGTTGGCGGCTTTGCCTCTTCCATCTTTGCATTGTCTCGCGGTCCCGCCACTCGCAGGATTCTGGTGAAAGATGGGGTCGACGTGACGGTGCCAGCTTGTTATGTTTTGCTTCCGTGATACTTAGTGTCTTGATGATGCGCGCTGTGGTGAAGAACCGGCAGGAGTTTGTGACCAAAAATTGCCTGCATTACTTTCTCCACTCTCTCCTTGCCAGCGGATGTCCCCGCATCCTCCGACTCGCAGTGGCAAACGTTGCCGTCAGCTTGTCTCTTTCCTGTCTCAGCGCGGTCTTTTCGAGCTTGTGTCAGTTGTGTCCACGTTCCCTCGTGTCAATAAACCTCAACAGACCTCGGAAAGAACCTAGAAGCGGGTTGAGGCGTGCTGCATTCATTCATTCTTCATCAAGAAATGTCTGACGCCCACAGATGGATTGACGTTTTATCTCTGAGTGTGTGTACAACCATAAAGAACTGCGAATTTCGAACAACCAGAGCGTTTAGTTTGCATGCAGCGAAGTGGCAGAGCGATATCAGGACTTGCCGGCACTCATGCTGCACTAGATGCGGTACTGTGGATGCTACTCGTCATTCGTGAGTGCTGCAAGCCGATGCCGGCAGCACAGCAGATGCTTTAGCACCGCAGGTGACGGCTGTTGCTGCTGATGCTTCAGAGCTGGTGCGCCGGTGGAATCTCCAGCTTCCATGTCCTTGACTGCATGCAACTGATATCCTTTGGCAGACGCTGTCGGCAATGCTGACTACAGACGCTCTACAGGCCAGTGCATGTTTGCAGGATTTCGACTCCTTAGCAGCGTGACCTCCCAGCTTCTACAGGGTTCGGGGTCGTGCAAGCTTCAAAGGACAGAGTGGACGTTGGGTACCCCACACCCCTAGAACCAGCAAAGCACGCAGATAGGTCCGAGGATTAGAAGGAATCTGAGCAGAATGCAATGAGAGCTGGTCTCCTCGGAGGCCCGTTTGGATTCTCTCTTGGAAGGCGAGTGGCTGAAACATCACAAGAATTTTGTATGCGTTCTAAGCATCGAGGCCGAGATCAATCGCAAGAAGACGCAACAGAATCGATATTCCCAACCCGCAGTTTCCAGGCAGCAGGCCAGTTTGCCTCCGCGCCCTCGGCCCTTCCTCCGGCTGTCGCACTCGTGCACCCAAACTGTTTCGGCCTCCGCGAGCCGAAGTCGACTTGATCCGACCCTTCCTTTGAGTTCCGTAGTCGTAGTCCCATGTTTCAGCCCTCATGAGCCCTCGTGTGGTCCGCTCCGCTTCCATCAGCAGAAACATCAGATGATCGTCTGGTGGGTGGGGGTCGGCTCTGAGTACATGCGAATGCACGCCTCGGCCGGGGCTTTGTCGGCTAGCGAAGATCGCTAGAGACCTTCTCCGGGCTAAGTAGGATTCGGTCCACTGCTTGAAAAAAGCAGCGCCCGCTATTGCGTGCAACTTTGCAGTTCTCTCTCCCTCTCGGTAGCCCTGAGTAACCGGAGGAGTTCTGGGGAGGTGGCGGGATGATCGTCGGGCCAGTGTATGCAATCGTGCCTTTTGTACGACTTACGACAGTGTATGCTAGCCTCCAAAGATCTAACCCTGAAGCATTGAAGGGTGTTTCGCTAAAGCAAACGTCGAAGGGGTTTGCTAGAGATTGAGGTCTCCATGGTCATTTCGGCTAAAAAGCCTCCTAACGGGAGGCTAGTCTGAAGAGCTCACCCGTCCCACTCTGATCGTTGGGCGGTTCTAAAAACAAAGCGGGGCCGCTGATTAGCGGCGTGTGTTTTTCTCCACGCTGCCGGTTTACTTGTTGGTACACTACCAAGACAACTTTAGAGAGTCATCACAAGCGACGCTCAGTTCACGTGCAAGGATTCCATTCGCAATCGTTGGAGAGGTGAGGTGCCTCCAGGCAACGTGCGACGTCTGTGATGCATTGGCCTCGCAGGGATCCCTTTCAGTTGATTTTCCAAGGTGGCAGTGGAGCAGCCTTGTTGATCTCAAGCAGGGCACTCGGCCGAGATTCCGCGGAGCCGACCATGGGCCGGGGTGTGCGAGTTTGCCGCAGGCAAAGATGTGACGGCTGCAGGCGATTCGCGGAGCGAGGAGACCCTGCGTCCTGAGTCCTGCCCTCGCAGCGTCTACCCAAAACAGAATGTTATGCTCCCCGGTTTCGTTGCAGGAGAGCATCTATGTTCGGATTTGCCGAAACTCGAGCATCTCCACTGCCGAAGCCTTGAACGGATGTGACGGGGCCTCCTATGTAACCTGTGAAATCGTGTTGAGTTTTGTTTGGCAGCGGCACGTGCGCAAGTCTTTGTCTTTCGTCCTTCCCCACGCCCCTCTTACATCTCTTCTCTTTGTTCTCTTTGTCTGACGCTCTCGTACGGCCGCTCGTAAACAGGCCACAGAGTTCTGGATCACCGCAGAGACGGATACGGGTGTGATGACCTTGAAGGCCGTGTCTGCCGTGGCCGATGGCTTTTGATGGAGTTTTCATGGCTGATGGCGCCAACTGCTAGGATGGTGTTGCCATCCACTCCTCTGTGCCACCAGCTGCGTTTGCAGCTGGCTCGTGGAAGGTCTGGCAGATTCCCAATGAGTTTCTCCCAAACGCTTAGATGCGTTCCGTAGAAGCTGCGAGGAAACGTGGCGGGAATTTCGCGTCCTGATTCCTGATGGTCCCCTACAGCCGACCGAGGTGTCACACAAGAACCGCAAAGAACTTTGCACCGAAAGGGTTCTGCTCAGGTCACGCTGTCTGCAAGCTCCATTGGGAAGGACAGGCTACTGTTGTTGTTTTTGGTTTGCAGCGTGTGGCCTGCACTTTGCAGTGGCAAGGTGCATCTAGTAGCTGACACTCATCGTCATCCTGACCTGGCATCGTACAGCTGGGCATCATGCCCGGATTCATGCCGTCAGAGTCTTCCCACGATACGGACACAAGCGGATTCTTCAGAGGCTACGGCAGGCGCTACAAGCAACGAGGTGTGGAACGGCAGCACTACGAATCTGCTTTTATCTGCTTCTATAATCTTCTATATAGATCCTGGTGTGTTGCAGGTCTTGCGATTCACGACGCAGAGTCAACTGGCGAGCCACGGCGTGTTCACCCAAGCTTTGACATGCTGGAGCGATCTTGGAAACCAGAAACAACTTCCGCACCAAGTGTTTACTTTCCATGACTGGCTATTTTGCCAGCATTGCGCCTGCGTGAGGGAGAGGGGGAGAGGTGGAGAGAGGGGAGAGGAGGCAGGAAGAGGGAGTGGAGAGAGGAAGCAGGACGAGGGACTTGTGAGAGAGGAGGGAGAAGGCTGCCGAAACAATCAAAGTTTGAAGTCAATGGCACGGGCAGCCACGCGCGCCATGAGCAATGGTGGCGACTGCTGCGCGGCCTTCAGGGCTGTCAACTGACTCGTCGCCACATAATTACACATCAAGAGCAGACAGCAGGCAATCGCAGCGGGCGCGTATGCCAGTAACAAATGGCAGCCGTTCGGGGATAGATTGTGCGTCCACGAAGTCTACTGCGACTACTTCAATACTGCGCCACCTGCCAGATCTCTGCTTTTTTTCCCTGAAGTTCCAAGTGGCTGGCTGTAAGCCTCAGGTCGGGTTGATAGACTGTCGCTTGCCCTGCTTCCTATACCTCGCTGCCACTGCAAGGGCCCGGTCCCCGTGATTGTCTCTTTATGATTCTTGGATTCGTGCAGCCTGAGCAGGCCCACAATGCGGAAGTTCATGTGCCACTGTCGGTTCGTGGCTAAAAGCTGTCGACAGCATTCTCGTTTGCTGGGCCCCTTTTTCAGGTTCGAGCGGTTCTGGATAGCCAGGGGACAAAGCACCTGCTCGAGGCCCGTGACAGGTTCTCCAGTGTAAGGTAAGATGAGTAAACCAGTGTCAGTGAGGGTTGTTTTTGCTCTAGACTTATGATCACATGATCTCGGGAGTCTGTGTTCAGGGCGATGAGTTCGAGCAGGTGTTGCCCGGCAATCGGTCCCAGGCAATTGGTTTTGTTTGCCACTTCTTCCGATTCAAACGACACAACCGTTTGTGTCAGGTATTTGCCTATAGTGTGAGACGAAGTAGCACGGCAGTTTTGGTCTCCGTGGCAGCCTCAGTGCTTGAGATGTCAGCTTTGTGATGGCACGGCGAAGGCTCTGTTGGTCGTCGAATTGTCCTTGCAGGGATCCGTCCATCCTGGGTCCATCCCGGCTTGTTAGCGGCTTGTAAACATGCGAGAATGCTGAGTAGATTTTTAAGTTCTTTTTCAATGCGGAACGGGATCGCAGGAGGCGCTGCCGGCTTTTGAATTTTGATGGTGACCCGAAGCACACTCGGAAGGGTTTACAAGTCTGTTTCCAATGCATGTGAAGGTGGCTGCCCCGCTGGATGTCACAGTCACAACCTTTTGCGGTTTGAATTCTGGCATAGACTGCAGCACAGGCTGATCTTTAGGCAAGATCGTGCGCAGCAAGGAGCAGTGGTGTTGCGCCTCCTGGTCGGTTGTAGACATTTTGAACTGCTGCAGCTAGCACACGCTCGCCGACCCAAATCTACCGCGCATGTGTGCAAGGCCGTGATCGAGATGTTGGGTGGGGTAGGGTGGGGGTGATGTGGTTTCAAGGCTAGCGGTGTGGGTAAGAGGTCGTTTTTTTTTTTGGGTTCGGGGTTTTGTAGGGTCCAGGGTTTCGTAGTGTGTGAAGCAGCTGGTGCGCGAATCGGTCGCCTACCCGCTTACGTTTGGTGTTGCCGGTCCTGCTCGTCGTGGTCGTCGCGATGGTCATCGTGGTGCTTGATCGCCACGGTCGTCGCGGTCGTGCGTAGGTTTCACTGTTGGGGGATCCGCGCAACTTATGCTGGCATAGTTGTTTAACGGCATATTCTGTGTTGGCATACACAGCCAAAGTTGTGTGCAAGAGTGTGTCATGTAAAAACATCCAGGAGTGCCGCGACGTTCTGCTGAGACTAGTACATGTCAGATTCAGTATCATTTGCATGGTGTCGTTCTCGCTTGAGGTGTCGAAGCTGTCCGGATCAACCAACTTTGTGATGTCTTCAAGGCGCTCTCCTGCGTAGGGCGCTTGCTTGCTGTTTTGGCCAGCTGTGCAGTCCGGATTTTCCGGATGGTTGGACGACAAGTCCGCTGGAAGCCGAGAGAGTCGCTGTTAGAGACGTGCAAGCGCGAGACGCAAGCGCGAGAGTCGCGAGAGCTCGAGCTCAGGGCCGAGGCCGTCATTTTGTTGGAGCCCGGTGCCAACGTGTTCCGTCGTGCTGCAGAGGCCGCTTGGGCCCCAAGTCGGATGTCAAGAAGCGATGTGAAGGGTCTCTGTTTGGGAGCCCGACAGAGGTCGCTGGGCGAGTTCCTCCGGTCCGACGCTCACCCTCATGCTCAAACTCGGCTTGACCTGAAACATGGTCACTTTTAATCCAAGAGGAGGTAGATGCACGAAGCTCAGATTCGGCCTGGCTTATTTAACTTGAGTTGATTCATACGGTTGATGGACAAAATTCTGCATGACCCAAATACAGTATAGTACCATAAATCCCATAGTTTAGGTATATAAGGTCATGCAGGATTTTGTCCATCAGCCGTAGGTATTAGGTGCCCTGTGAAGAATTACCCTTTGCAACTCGGAGGTCAGTCCGAAGGAAAGCAGCACTGTCCCCACCAAGAAATCTGAAGCCGCTGTAGCGGCAGAATCGCGACGTTATCCCGCAACAAAGGTTTCCGTAAAGCCTCTGATCGGAGCACATGGAAGCCAGCCAACGACGATTTCACTACATGCCACACATTTTGCCGCATGTTGAGCCTAGTGATGTAGCATTTCGTCGGCTGGCTTGGTACAGAATCGCTCACTGTCACTTTCAGGTCCTCTATATTCGTGTACAGAATGCCGGGATGCAGTCAAGCCGCTTCATCATCTCCGCGCGATCTCAGGCCGGTCTGTCACAGTGCTTCAGCCCGGATAGAGCCGCGGGCAAGGCCCATGCCAAATGGCTCCTGAATGGTGCGACGACGCAAGGAGCAGTGAAGGCCGGGTTCATGGAATTGCGTTTGCAGAGAAACAACCTTGACGATGTTCAAGGCATTGAGATACGACAGATACCGCTTCTTCGCACAGCGCCAAGTGGGCTGACAATGGATTCGACGGAAGTTTGTAAGTTTTATTAAGTTTTGCAGGTTTCGGACGGCGAGGTGAGGCACAGTATGGAAATCACCATCGAGGCGCACCACTTTTACCCGTAGTCCGAGATTTTGTCTGAGTGTGAGGGTGATCTGGGCATGGCATAGTGACTCAGGTCATTCTTCACAGTGGGTCAGTGGCTCTCTTTGCTGCCTGTGATCCGAATAGGTGCCCGAATGGTTCAGTTGTTTTTGTTCAAGGGCAGCCGGTGCATGCAGAGAAATTCCTGAGTGATCTGTGGGCGGCTCAAAGCGAGCTCCAAGTAGCGGGAATTCCTGACTTCCAAGAAGTATCGGAAGGCTTCTTCATGTCAGACTCCGCGTGAATCTATTCTCATCTTTGCTTGGCAGGGGTGGCTTCACATGCATGGTTCTGTTGGATGGCAAAGCTTGGACAAGGTGGGCTTTGCCTCCGCAGTAGGGATGCGAATCGACGTCGAAGCTCGCCAAAGCCAAGTTGGACAAGCATACGTGCAGTTACAAGCCGTGCATTTACACGCAGCTAACAACAGGGAGTACACCAAGAAGTGCAGACATGGGCAGTGGTCAGAGTGGCGCGACAGTGCGCACAAGCAAAAGTGCGCGCACACACACACACACAAGAGAGAAACATTAACATTTCGCCTCAATCTCATTGGTTTGAATCGATTGTTTCATTCACCAAGCACAGCTTCAGCTTTCAACCGTGCCATAACATGACATTAGTGATTCATGTGGAAGCAAGACGGGAGCAGGCTATGCCCTGACCACGGTTCATGTCGAGAGCGTTCCTTGCTTCGTGGTGTGGCCAAAGCCGGTGCAAGTGTACCGGAATAAGGCTTCGTGGTGCCATTGGGGCACAACTTCCTCCTGGTGAAACACTTGAGTGAGATTGAGTACTTCCACACCTGATGTGCGGGGACCACCGCTCGAACGTCGCCTCGCCACCTTCTAAGTCAGTGTTTCCCTCCCAGCCTGGTCAAAACTTTCCATGTCATTGAGTCATCATGGCACCGAGCACTTACACGTCCAGCGAAGGCATAGCCGCATGATCGAACTATATTGACCCGTGCAGGCTGACAAGGTGTATTTTCGGCGCAAGCTGCTGCCACGGCTCCGGGTGGCAGCCTGACGATCTTTTGCTAGAGACTTTGCAGCAGCTCGGTGGTGTCATTCTAAGGTGAAGGAAGCGCCCGGCCAAAGTGAGCTCGAATGGGATTGGATCTCAGTCGAAAATGCCCACCCGTTCCGTGCAACTGCATTCATCCCGGCTTTGCAAGGACACGAGTGTCCCTTTCGAGCCGTGCACCTGGCCCGATTTCGCTCGGCATCGGCTGCATCACGTGCTTCGTTTCAGAGACTTCTGCTGACGCGTGCCAGGCCATACCGAGTCCAGGCTTGATGATGCTATGCTTCTTCATAATTTCATCTGTTGGCATGATTCGTGATCAGACAGGACCGGAGACCAGCAACGGCAGAACGTTCTGCACCGCTTTCTGTCGCGAGCTCAAAGGAATGTCAGAGGACAGCAGGCTGCGTGCACAAAACCGGCAGTCTGTGCAGTGATCAGGTGGTTTCTTTTCCAGCCGAGCACTGAGCACAGCACGTTCAACACATGTCAGCCACCTCGCCGGATCCGTTCAGGCGAAATTATGCCTGCGAGCTCGTGGGGAGGCGCTCGGAAGCTTCCAGTTTAAGTGAGGAATCCGGGCCTTTGCTTTTCTTCGTCCGTTCCGTCATGTCGTGTCTGGATGTCAGGCCCCGGGACCGCTTGGACTCTTCGGATCGCATGAGGCCCTGGACGGACTCTTAATCACGAGGCTGACTCGGACCGTCGGATGCACGGCTGCGAATGCTAAAGAAGCCCAGGTCATACCTTTGGAGACGCAAGATGCTGCCAGAATCCTCAGGCTTAGCTGGATTCCTCATCGAGGTTCTCTGCGCGGCTAAGGTGAAAGACATAGTGGCTGCTTGTGCCAAAGGCACAGCTCCTGTCATGGACGGTTCCTGCCAAAGCCTCAGGCCAGGCATTGGCACAGCCCCACTGCAAGTGCCCTCCGAGGTCTCACCCTTTGGACTCTCGTAGACGCGAGCAGCCAGGCCGAGACAGCAACACAAGAGTAAAAACTAATCTCGGGCGGCTCTAAAGATCAAACGATCGTTGCACTTGTGCTGCTTGCTCGCAGCTTAGACTATTTTCAGTTGGGTCTTGCATTTTGCCACGTGGGACTTGCAGCAGCAACAACAAGGGGCCCTCTTTTGCTGGTCGCGTGTCCACAAACTGTTTCCTGCTTTATCTGTGCTTTTAATTCGTGTCCGGGGGACCGCCGTCCTAGCTAGAAACACTGCGAACGCATATCCCACCTCCAAACCGAGCCACCGCGATCACGAAAGGTTAGGCAGGTCTACGCAGCCGCCACTACATGGTGACGGTCCTACCTACGAATTGCAATAGTAGTGCTAGTACTGTAGTAGTGGCTGTGGTGGTAGTAGTGGTGGTAGTAGTAGTCGTCGTAGTAGTCGTAGTCCTTTTCGTATTCGAAGTAGTAGTCGAAGTCGAAGTCGAAGTCGAAGTCGAAGTCGAAGTCGAAGTCGAAGTCGTAGTCGTAGTCGCAGTCGCAGTCGCAGTCGCAGTCGCAGTCGCAGTCGCAGCCGCAGCCGCAGTCGCAGTCGCAGTCGCAGTCGCAGTCGCAGTCGCAGTCGCAGTCGCTGTCGCAGTCGTAGTA